TCGGCATTCGCGAGAGCTCGACGGAGGACATGCACCGCGCCGACCTCCACAGCCTTGGTGGAGGGCCCGATCTGGACCGCTCCACGACGTCCAGGAGCACGTCGAGCGCGCGGGAGCTGAGCCTCGTTGAGATCGAGACCTCGTCGGACAGGAGCTCGAGGAGGGACTTGGAGCATCGTCGTCAACCCTCGACGCAGGCGGTCCAGTCTCCGGCGCCGGCATTGGAGATCTTGGTTACGATGTCCATGGCGTGCAGCCTCGCCTCGGCGCTGCCGCGCTGGAGCAATGCCATCACCGGCCGCATGCACTCAGGCGCGAGAAGGAGCCCCACCGACGCCGCGTCCGCGAGCGGGAGGAGGGCGAGAGCACCGCGGCGGCCTCCTCGCACGCCGTGAACGCAGAGAAGTCGCCGCCGGCGCCTGGCTCTCGGCGAGCGCCTGCGCCATGACCCGGGGCGGCCGCCCTGAATCCCGCCGAGACACGAACTCGCATTGCATGGCCACGTCGCCGGCTGTCATGCAGGCCCGCATGCTCTTGAGCGCCGTCACCTTGAACGGCGTCTCCTCGAGGCCGGCCAGCGCCGAACGCAGCTGCTCCGCCCAGGACCCGCGTAGCGACGCAGCGCGGCCAGCTCGTGGCCGGGCTCGACAGTGACGACGTGGACGGCGACGACGACGCCGACGTCGACGGCGAAGCCCGCCGCGGTCGTCGAGCCAGGAGCCGATGACGCGCTTGAGGGTGTGGTTCGGGGTGAGCTCAAGGTTGGCCAGCGGCTGTATGGGTGGCGGGGCAGGTGGCCCCTGCCGCACCGAAGATCCACCGCTCGATGCTGCGGCGGTCGTAGGGTGACCCCCGTGGAGACCGTGACAGGGTCGTCCGCAGGCTCCATGGAGATGGGGCACAGGAACAGGTGGGAGGCTCCTCCTCCATGGCTGGCGCTGGCGCACTGCCACCACCGCAGATCGCGATGCCGATGCAGTGCAGACCACCGTGCGCTGCGCTGGCCAAGCAAAGCTGGTGATGTGATGAGGGGCCTTTATACACGGGCGTCGTGGTGGGCTGGCGATGGTGCAACGTGCAACCGTGCAAGTCAATAGTCAGGCTCGGACAGGGCGGAATCGTAAGGTTCGCTAATAAACTAGATTAAATGCATTCTGCGCACAATTAAGTTTGGTGGTGCGGTGAGGTGAGGTGGGTTATGAGCCATGAGAAAATTCAGAAATTGTTATAGACTGATGACCAGGCAAAATCAAAGCGACTTTGAATGATGCTATTAATCTCTCAGAAATTAGGCAAATTCAGACTAGCTGATGTAAGCTTTATGGAAATTTTGCTAACTCAGGTCCTACATGATGTGAGCTTGGAACTTTCATTTGACTGTTCTCGAAATGTGAGGTGCATATCTTCAGAGCTGTTTCTTTTTCCGGAAATGGCAGAGGAGTTGTTTCAGTGGAGATGGTGGTAGAGATTTGGCGGAGGACAATGTGAGATGAGATCTTGTGCTGAGTGCTGTGAATGCTGAAGTCCTCGGCCATATTTGTGCATTAGTTGAGGAGAGCGGTTGGGCCACGATGTTTCGTCCCCTGTTTCCTTTCCTGTCCCCATTCTGAAGGTGTGTTCGCAGAGTAAAACAAGTGGCAAACCGATCTGCCACTTTGCTCCTGGTCAAATGCCCAAGGTTGTACTGACTACTGACATTCAAACCTAAAGAGTACGGTGTACATTTCCACTTCGAGTAAGGGTGAGGCCTACAGTGCTGCAAATGCCTCCTGTGTCGCTAACTTGCCAAGCATTATCAGATTGTTGGGTTACATGAAGGAAAAGAGAAAAGGGGTGTTCAGCATTGGAGCTCAATATCGTTTGCGTTAAGCACAGCTGAAAGTTAGGTAACGCACAACTCATAGTCAGGCGAACGTGCATCACACACACACACAAATGACAAGTACAGGCTACATTTGGTCATGACCTCCACACATCAACACAACTGGCACGCAAAATTTTCGTCTGCGGAAGCGGGAAGAATCGTCTGACACCTAATCACTCTTAAATGCGAGATAACTACTGTACGTTCAATCCTCTCAGCCTCAGCGACTCCGCGAGAATTCAATCCATGTCACTGTACACCTTCGTGTCCTCCGTTTCCAATCTCCTCTCTGAAAACCACAATCTCCTTTCGTGAACAACATGCGATTTGACAAAGCTGCATCACAGCACAGGACGATGAACTCTCTCACTGCTCCTTTTATCTTATTTATTTAAGATAAGAAAGAAAATGGCACGACTTAGACGCGTCTCACGATCACAACGAATCATCGACAGAGTTGACTAACCCGTGTAGAATAATCGGGCGGAGAATTATCGCCGGCCGCATGCCATTAGAATATCACATCGGATACTTGGGACTAATCTGCGGCGAGATCGTGCTGGTCGTACGAGTGATTTGTTCACGATGCACCAATCATAAGTAAGCGTATCTCGGTGATTTCGTATTTCCCTTCTCGGGATTCCCTCGCTGCAGAGCCTACGGTTTACCTGACCCCGTAGCACGCGACTTTGAACCTCACCTGGAATCCAGCTCTAGCTAGCCTTCTGGATTACTGATCGGGCGCTTTGTCTGGCAAGTGGAGTGGCGTGTACCAAGCTGGGTGCTTCTATTTCAGTTGCCCATTGCGGCATTAGAGACTGGGAGTATGAGAAACCCATGGAAAGCTGAAAATCCAACAGTTTCTTGCTCTGGGCTATGAAAGTCCTTTTATAAAAAATCAAATCAAAAGAATGTAGTAGTATGAAAATCTCATTTCGTTATTTCATACTAGTTTTTTCTTTCTGAACTTACCTACTGCTTGGGTTTTAGTCAGCCCGTGCTTTGCCAACTGCAAAAGCAAAGGGAAGAAATTGGCGGATGAATGCTCAAACTCCTTGACCGAGGCCCCGATCACTTGTCTTATAATCCGTACTTTTCGGTGGAAACGATGTTTCGCTTGTTTTTTCAGCGAAAGCGAACGGAGCCCGAATCAACACAGGGTGTTTGCGGATTGAGAACAACCTGGCACGGCGACCCAGGCCTACGGGAGATCGATCCGCCCAACAGAAAGACGATCCGTTCCAAACTTGGTCGCTGTTCTCATACTGCAAGTGAAGTATGAATATCCTAGTCGATACGACCACCCAACCAAACAGTTGCCGGTAGGGTACCTGCGGAACATGACATACAGGGTGGCCAGGTTGAGTATAACAAATCAGTTCTCCTGCTACAAGATTTACAGCTTGCGTACTCGTTCTATGAATAACAATAAATCCAACCTACGAGTACAAGGGGTTTCCAATATAAAAAAGAAAATATGTACCTAATTTCGGACCACATCCCCTCCCTAAAAAGATTTAACTTAAGTGTTTGAGTGCATGACCACACTTTCACCTTCACCTATAGAAGGCCAAGCAGGCGACCTAACACGGAAAATAGTTGGTCGTGCACTAAGCTCATCAAAGAACAAAGGCTATAGGACTAGATCCTTCAAAGGGGATCTATGGAGTACGACAGGCGGTGGCAACTTGCGGGAGTCAAGAGGGGGAGGGAGGGGAGATGAAGGTGAATGGATGGATGGATCTAGGGTTCAACCAGTTCATAGAAGGAGAGAGGTGTTTCCTCATTTATATACTACTGACCGAGAATGTAACAATTAATTGTTATAATGGGTCGATTAGATTAATCAAGCTACTCTCTCTCTCTCTCGAACTCGAGCTACGCTCTCGTTGGCAACTTCGTATAGGTGGGCTATCATAGGCATGACTAAGGCTGCATTTGGATGGTCTTGTCAACACCTGCCACACCGTGTTTACAGCGATGCCAAATTTGTGGCAAGCAAAATGAGCACCCAACTTTTGACAAGCAAAGTGGAAAAAACAACTACGGTGATGCATGAGGAAGTGCAGCTGCCTAACATATATGGAGCCATGAAGCAAACGCTGGCCTAAATCATTGCGCGGTGTATGTTTGGCGTGGCAACCTTTGGTCACCAACCAAACGTGCCCTAAAAGCAGGGTGTGTCAAGCCAAAAGGTCCAGGCCTCAGGCCAACTCACTTCGTGCTTGCTTACAAGGACCATGTCTACACCACAAATTTTTGAGAGCAAATACATTGCAAATATTCCATGCTCTAAACCTCTAGTCATTCCTCCTTTGCCTTAGTAACCAAAATTTCTTCAGCACGTTGGAAAGTAAAATCCGTCAGGATCCACAAACAAATAAATTCATGCACATGAAAAATATCACCAACGACGAATAATCAACCTCCAAAATATTTTCAGCTCATAGCTTTTCTGAGGCCCAACCAAGGAACTTGCCGAGAGTTAGGAGGCACTAGCTTATTTTTTCCTAGGGAGGCAAAACGTAAAATTTTTCTTTCACGGAGGCCACTAACGGCTCTGGCCATTCTTTTGGAGACCTCAATCTCATATGCAGAACAATCAAAGACTCGAAAATGAGGTGCCAATCATCAATTTCTCTACCATGATCAATTCCAGTTTCCAATATAATACAGGCTCATTCCTCAAACGGATGAGAAAAACTGCATATATCTAAAGGTTTTCTATTTCCAAGGATAAAAAAGCACCCAACTCTATGACAGCTCAGTGTGAGGTGGAAAAAAAATTGTCAGAAGTATGTAACCAAACAAAGCTGTGGTGGTAAACAGAGCAAAATTGGCTCTGCTTTTCCAGGGAATTCCTCCCTATCAGGCTGTCATTTCTCTGCAACTTTAATCTGCCCGAGTTCACCCATGAGCATGAGCTGTGCCAAAGCTGATGTGAGGATCAGCGATGATCTCCAGTGGAGACTCCACTTTGACAAGTGTATGGACTAGATATCTGTATGCCATGCCATACTTTCCCCTCTTGGTGAGCATATATGCAATTTCCTGGGAGTGCTGACCGGCTTTAGTTCATTTCAGCTGAATATTGCATCGGAATAAATACTGACATGGACAATATATCAGCTGAACATCACACATATGTTCCAGAGGATTTCCATATTCTCCCTTCGAGAGAAATGACCATAATGGTGACATCATCATGGTATTTTCTGCGATCCCCTTGAGGTATATCTAATAGCTCATAAAAGTCCATGCCTGAAAAGGCAAACTCCAGGTTAGTACTGGCATATTGCTCACGGAAGAGACTTCTTGAAGAATCTCTAATTGATCTAGAGATTGAAGCAGGGTGACATTACTTATTTTTGTAGGAATAGATAACAATGATGTAGTGTAATCAAGTACAAAGATGTTTCAGCTGTGATAGTTGTGCGGCATACAACCAAACTTTTCAACAACAGGCATTATAGCTATACAGTTAAGTCTCCAACCATACAGTGGTCTAATATTGGGCAGATTAATCGCCTAGGTGGCACCTAGGCACTAGATGTGACCTCCCACCTATGCAGCTGTCTAGTGCACTGTATACACATTGTAACAGCAAGGGAAGTTCTAATAGAAGCTATCATTGAAAACTTTCCTATCATAGAGCGGAAATGATTAAATGGAGCTTATCGTTCATTACACCCAAAACACATAGGTTCATTAAGCTTGTCATTTGAATTGAACATCTTTGTGCTGAAATTTTATATTAAGCATTGCTCTGAACCAATTTGCATGATATGATCCTAGGGAAAAATAGAACTGGAAACTTTAGCACCAGCCCTCCAAGACAATGCAAAGCTTGTCTTTTGGCACAGATAATCCATGCCATCAAAATGATTCACGGACAAGTGAAACTAATCAAAAGTTCAAAACTAGCACAAACTTATCTACGAGCAGGACCTCAGGCTGTCACTGTAGCTGTAGTCCTGTAGAGTCTGCTCTAAAAGCTTTGTAACCACCAAAACTACATATGAAACACCATCCATTTCGATCAAAGATTGAATCTAGACAAAATATCCCCTATCAAATGATAAAAAGGAATAATATAGAAGAAGACAAGGTATCATTTTGTCAAATAATACTTTCAAACAGAATCTGAATAGCGTAACAAGACAATGTGCAATCAAGTGTGGGTAGTAAACTTTGGCCAAAGATTCTCACATATTAGGAACTGACAGTCTGCCATACCAGGTGTTGGCAGCTGAGTTTAACCCTTGCCGTGTTGGGTTACTTCTGTTTTTCATGCATATATAAATATAATTCTTTTATTCCAGAAAGTAGCATAGTGAGCCACCCAACGCCCCAACATGAACATGTGCAAGCACATAAATGTTTGCACAGTGCACACAAGTATGTGAACCGTGATGCTAAGGGTACAATGAAACGGTCAACATCCAAAACAATATCGAAATGAGCGCATTTGCATTCAGCATGGAAGAAGAAGACCACACAATAAGCTTACCAGCTTTCTTTGCAGCACGGGAGAGTAGCTCTTCAATTAAACTCTGTGCAGGATCACCCTCTGGAAACCGCTCCATAAAATTCTCAACATGTAGAACTACCTCCTCATTGCTTAGGTACTGATATAAGCCATCAGACGAAAGAACAAGAAATTGATCCCTGGTGGAGAGCTTATGATGGCAAAGAGAAGGTGCGCATGATATATATGGTGTATCACCTATATACTCATTGCGAAACATCTCTAGCAACCCATCATTCAATTTTGCCTGTAAAGTATGCAGACTTCTCAATAAAATTTACTTGTTTCCCCATACCTGGACCTATCATAACAATCAACCTACAGCCTCTTTACCTGTTTGAGATACCCAGCACCAAATGCACGGGTAACTTTTAAACGACCCTTTACTCTATCATTAACAATACACTGATCATCATCCGGATGTTCGCGTCTGATCCTCTGCACTTCCTGCACGTCAACATGAAAGAACAAGAGTTCATATGCAGAAAGAATTCATAGGCTAAAACACCTATGATGCTTCCCATCCACCCATACTATCCTACTACGATATATAAATTCACAACTCCAAAAGAACAATGGTCTGTCGATTATAAAGCCATGCTGTTGAACAGGACAATGCACATACTGCACATGTACTCACAGAAGCCACTACAAAGTTCACACATAATGGCATAGGTATTGCTGTACCAAAGGGCATGTTCAACCAGGATAACAAAAAACAATTGGGTCTGAATATTTATATAGGATGCAAGCTCATCTTTTCAGTGAACTCAGCAGATGCACAAATGCATTAGCATTATGCATCAATTCAGCTATGTCTGCAAAAAGGTTACCTCTTCAATGCTCGTGCTATGATCAGTCGACAGCTGCAATGCCTCAAGCCCAATTGCAGAATACCCAGGGATCCTTGACTCGGTCTCCAAGCCCACACCAATGCCCTCCACCCGCATGCTTCCAATCAAGCAGTCGTCGTCGTCTCGTCGCTGCGCCACAATGGAACGGCTATCCCCAAGGTTCATTACATATACGTCGTCGTCCCTTAGCAGGGCCACGAGCAGGCAAGCTCCAGTCACTGCCAGCTCTGGGGTGGGATCCCATTGATTGGCTGGTCATGTCCAGGTACGCCGACTCTGTCGTAGCTAGCGCTCGGGCCAGTGCGCTCAGTACCGCCATGTGGTCCGTCACCGCCGGTGCGGCCGTCAACCTCTTAACTCCCCACTCCCTGCCGCTTTGACCATCGCCAGCGGCAGCGCGGCGTGGGCCCACAAGGGATGCCGCTGCTCCTTGAGAAGCGATAGCGCGAACCGGCCGGAGCCCGAGAAGTCGAGTTCGCTGTCCTCGTCGTCGCCATCCACCAGGAATTGCCAGAGTCGCTTGGAGTCCGGGTCGGCCTCTTCGTAGAAGATCCACGGAGCTCGCGCAGCAGGAAGCGGTAGAGATTAGCGACCAGGAAGTCCGGGGCCTCAGGACCGTTGAAGCCGTCATAGATGCCGACGAAAAGCCAACGCTGGTCCTCGGAGACAACCACGTGAACCCTGTCCTCCCCGGCGCGGCCGTGCGCCCACTGCACGCCGTCCTCCCGGCGGAGCGGCACGACGCATGGGCGGTTCTTCTCCGAGACGCTCCGCCGCAGGCTGCCGAACGAGGGTTTCCGGAACCTCCTCGAGAACCCTCAGGACGACGACGAGGGAGCGGGCTTGGTGGGCTTGGCGGGGAGCGGGCCGGAGAGGGGCACGGCCTGGTCGAGCGGGCCGGAGAGCTGGGCGCCGCGGTCGATGGGCCCGGAGAGGAAGAGCGGACCCGAGGAGAGGTTGGAGAGCTGCAGCGGCGCGGAGGAGAAGGACGAGGAAGTGTGGAACGCGGAGGAGTACTGCGGCGGCGGCATGCCGCCGGCGACGGAGGAGTGGTAGATCGGCACGGGCACGGAGGAGTTGGCGGAGAGCGCGGCGCCGGAGATCGCGTGGCGGAAGGAGGACGAGTGGCCCGCGGCGGTGGCGGAGCTGGCGGCGTAGCAGAAGGAGTGGCCGAGCGCGTCGTCCAGGCACGGCCCGTCGTCCGCGGGCGCCGGCGCCGGCCGCGAGCACGCGCACGCGGTGAGCAGCCGCGACGCGCCGCTGCCCATGGCATCCGACGCTCCGGCTCAGGCTCCGTCTCCGGTGGTGGAAAGCAAGCGATGTGGAGCACTCGCCAAGCTACTACGAGTGCATTTCTGTACCAGTACGCCGCACTGCCGAGGAGAGGAGGAGGAGGGCGGCGTGCGGGAGTGCGCCGTGCGCTATGACTAGTAGTTGCAGTAGCCACGGGTCCGTTTGACAAAATCAGTCTTCCTCAGCGTCTCCCATGCAAATTTTGCAAGACACGAGCCAAGCCCCGGAGGACTGCGATGTGAAAAAGATGCTGAACTGAGGGGTTGAAGCGCACCGTGCCAGGTGAGCGGGTATGGAATGGTGGTGGGTGGCCGTTTTGTCCGCACCCGCCCTCCTCACGCCGCAGAGCAGTGACGTGGCGGCGCGGTGTTGACGTGGAGGGATGGGGTGGAGAGGAGTCAACGTTTGGCCTTCCAGTCTGCCACCCGGACTCGGCAGGTGGTACTCCACCCAGGGGCAAATGCGTAAATCCGCGCGGTGGCGCGACAAAATTGGATGGCTTTGGCGGGCCAGATATAGAGCGTAGGTAGCTCGAACTGGATGGCCGGCTGCCTAGTGGGCTCCTCCTCGGTCTCAAAGATAATAGATAATGCTAGGCACTCTGGCTTGTTTATTTTAGAGCACCTGTTTTAAAGTGATCCTGTGTTTGATTCTGATGATATGGTGTAACACTCAAAACAGATTTAAAGAAACTTCTCAAGCCGCCCGGAGATGAGGCGACCCTCAGCGGAGGTGCACCGTCCTCGCTTCTCCAAGCGAAGCAAGCGGATAGCGGCACGAAGCTCGACTCATATCCCGGCTGACCAAGCGAGATGAGTACCTTGTCATGAAGCGCTTAGGACTCTCTAGCGGGATGTCGCTTCGCGTCGACGTCGACGTTGACGCACGATGAGGTATTCAATGGCGATTCCGCTCATATCAAAGGCTATGTGAGTTGTTTTTTCTACGGTTGGCGACATAGACCGGCATAATGGCGCACGGCCCAAACACCTAGGGCATAGGTCTCCTTGCCAGTGGCGCAAATTTGGGTCGATCTCTGTTCAATGTAAAAACCTAGCTTACAATACACTCGAGATGGTCTGAGCTTCCATGTAAATCCTTACTGACCCTTAGACGCCCGAAGGCGTGTTGTATCGAATCTTTTCTCTACCTTGATACAAAGACGCGCAGTCCTTTTGTGTGATTGAGAAGAGAAAACAGATTTAATGGTTTCTTATTCTAACCCATAATCTCGAGATCGCTTGACAGGGATTGTCTAAAAAAATTTATTTTCGTTGGTAAAATCGTTTGTGGAGATAAACGGTTTTGAAGAGTTTTTTTCAAGTGCACATTTAAAGTATCGTAACTTAAAAAGCCAATGTGATAATTCTTTAGCACGAGATGAATGGGGAAAGAATAAAGTGGTGAGGAAGTATCTCACACAGACCAAGTGGGTCTTGTTAGTTGTCTGAATTCGCCTGTATTTAGACATGTGTACTGCAGTTTGTCCATATTTGGTAGCCTACAAAAGCTCTTTTATGTAGGCTTGTACAGTGCTTAAACCAGCGAGTGCAACAATTACTAGTACATTAGATTTCTTCGTATTAGACAATGCAGAATGCATAATCCATGGACACAGAAAATAAAATATTTTTAAAGTGTTATCCTAAACGCTACACGGTAAACAGTAAGCAAAACAATCGTTTAAACAGGATAAACAATTGATTAAATAAAATGGCGTGTCATCATGTAGCATTTAAATCATGTGTAAAGCAGGCTAAACATCCGATTTAGACGAATAATGGTATTTTCACATTCTCTACTTTTTACTAGAAACATGAGACCTCTAATAGATCATATAGGGTGAGAAAATGCAATAAAATGTAAATAAACAAATACAATTTTATCATATGTTGTTTGCCTATGTAGAACAACCAAACACAATGATGTTGCATATATTTATGTTGGGTTAGCTTATGCTACATAAGATATGTAGGCTAAGTCTAGTATAGCCAACCAATAAGACCCTAACTAAAAAACTCTCGCTTACTCAAAAGAAAATGAGAAAACTGTGAAGTAAATATGAACGGATAATAACGTAGGTTTAAGATTCAATTGGTATTTGTTGTTATTTACTACTCTTTCCTCTGTTTTAAATTATTTGTCACTTTAATTTTTTTATCTCAAATCAAAATCTCTAAATTTCTATCGACTTTTGGAAAATATATATCAACATCTACGATGCCAAAGAAATGAACCCTTGATTTGTAGTGGGTTTAATAAAAATAATTTGATTATTATAGATGTTGGAGTACTTTTCTATAAACTTTGTCAAAGCTAAATAAGTTTGATATTATAGTTTGTTTTAGAACGAAATGAGTAGGCTCTATGCTAGGCAGATTTCAGCCTTTGAGATTTGAACAGCGTATTTCACTTTTTCCAAACTCAGCGCAACGGCGCCACCAAACAAAAAGGATAAAACATGGGCAAATGGAGGTACAGAAGAGTTTCACAGGGTGTTTCACGTGAGTGCAGCAGGGGGTGCATTGGATTCTGATTTCTGAGGGCACCTGGCAAGTCAAAATTCACAGTACTGTGATAGATGCAGTGTGCCGAACTGCGTTCCCGTTGTTTTCTGTCCTGTACTTGTCCCCCGTCCCGCTCTGAAATCTCAGCAGGCAACAGACAAATGTATGAGATCGAAAAGTTGATTAGAAAAAATCAGAGACTCCACCTGTGCCAAGACAGACAAAAGAAGTGTTATCAGAGAACACAGCATGTTAACATCAGAGAACTCGTGTAAAAAAACATCAGTAAAATTAGAGGAGGGTTGGTGCCTGAATGGGTTTGATAAAAACCACCCAACGAAGAAAAAGATACATTTTGGAGATATAAAGATAAAGAACAGGATTGTTAAAAACTAAGATATTCTATGCGACCATAACAGTTTTGCGTAACATACCTTTTCCCCGGTCTCTTGCTTTTTGGCGCCGCACCCCCCCAAGAACATAGCAAATTAGAAAGGGGGAATTCCTTGTGTGGCATTAAAAAAAGATCGTAATGCCTGTGTGCCTCTGGAAAAGTTCGGTGATCTTGACACCACTCTTCTAATGTTTTTGTGCCTCCATGCCACTTCCTTCGTCGTCAGTTTGGGGTCGTCAATCTGAGTGTGAAAAGGCGAAAATACCCTTAAGTCTAAATATGTAATTAATTTTTTTGAGCATCTTAACGACTTCAAATCAAAAAACTCAAAACTAGAAAGTTGTAGATCTCGTTGAGATCTATAATTTTCATATAAAATTATCTTCATTTAATTCCAAAAAAATATGATTTGATATGATTAATATATCTTAGAAAAATCATATCTTTTTTCGGAATTAAATAAAGATAATTTTTATATGAAAATTATAGATCTCGACGAGATCTATAACTTTCTAGTTTTGAGTTTTTTTCCATTTGAAGTCGTTAAGATGCTCAAAAAAATTAATGACATATTTAGACTTAAAGGTATTTTCGTCTTTTCACACCTACAGTTTAACGGCGTTAGAGCCCAAACGACGGCAGTGGTATGGATAGCACAAAAAAGTTGGAGCAGTGACGTTGAAAACCGCTAAACTTTTTCAGGAACACACAGAGCATTACGATCTTTTTTTAATACACAAGAATTCCCCCAGTTAGAAAAGAGAACAGTTTCGTTGTTCATTCAGCCCGGTGCTCTGGTTTGAGCAAGGAGGTGTGGTGTACGGTGCAAGAGAACGAACTAGACCCAGATTTGTCTTTTTTATAAAGCAAGGGGGAAAAAAGATGGGAGACTACGCAAGTTCGGCTGCAAGTATTGCAGCACCAGCAGCTGTAGCTTCTCTCTGCTGGCTGGCTGTTTTTTTTTTACAAATAAGCCCATGTTTAGTTGGAGAAATTTGGATTTGGAAGTCTGTAAGCGCGTTCGTTTTATTTGGCAAATAGTGTTCAAACATGGACTAATTAGGCTTAAAACGTTAAATCTCGCAATTTCTCACCAAATTTGTCGCAATTAGTTTTTTTTTTCGCTTACATTTAATGATCCATGCATGGTAGTAAACATTCGATGTGACAAATCATGTAGCAATTTTTTGGAAGTTGGGGTGGAACTAAGACCCGTTTAGTTCAAAATTTTTGGCTTTTGGCCATCAGAAGACTTTCGTTTTTATTTAGCAAAAATTGTCCAATTATGGACTATTTAGGCTTAAAAGATTCGTCTCACGATTTCTCGGCTAACTGTGTAATTAGTTTTTTTTTTGTCCACATTTAGTACTCCATGTATGTGCCGCAAGATTTGATGTGATAGGAAATCTTAAAAAATTTTGGTTTTTGGTTTAGAACTAAACGGGGCCTAAACAAGGACTAAGTTAGCATAGAGGCAGGGGTAGCTGGGCCTAGTTCTGCCATCGCACCACTCTCTCTGTCACATGCAAGAAAAAGTCTGAAGAGTACGGCACCTCTCCGACCCAGAGAAAACAAACTGTCTGCAAGTAACAAGCCAGTAGTTAAAGTTCTTGATAGGGGGAGCTGAGGCTGCTCGGCTGGTATTAAAGTCGAATTGATTTATTATTAGAAAAAAATATTGTAAATTTTAACTAATAAATTGATAAATTCAAACGAAGCGAACAGGCCAGGACCAAGGATGCAGCACTGGGTCAGATTAGTTGACCGGGCTGACTGATATGGGACCCACTGGACCACCGAATCACATACTAAAATCTGAAAGCACAGAACAACCTCTATCAATCAGCCTGTTCGCTTGTTGGTTTTAGCCAACCTAAACCAGCCAGCCAATAATATTTTCCTCTCACAAAAAACCAGCACCAGCACCAACCAGCGAACAGGCCCAATACTTACAATCAAATTTTATGTCTTGCCACAACTCACGCCATGTTCGTTTTAGCTTGTTTAGCTAGTGCTTGGTTTGTTTTCAGCCACGAATAGTATTTTTCTCTCATCAAATCAGTCAACAGTACTT